AAAAGCTTTCCGATCTAAGGTTTGTCTATTTCATTACCATTTTTATCATCATGAGGGAAAGATATATGAAATAAAGACAGGCTTTCAAACTAAGAAATATTTGCGCCTTTTATCGGAACCTAACGAGGATTTCTCTAGTGTTGCGTCAACTTAAACGATCTAGTAAAATGAGACAATGGAAAAGTAACTGAACTTCGCCTTCTGATGGGATTGGTTTACGAACCCTTTTTTCAGACACTTTCATACGAAATTTGGAATCATTTTGTTATGAACTGAGTTTTTCCCCCAGTCTGCATCTTAAGCATATCATCACTAGGGATTTATATGCAATTATCCTTGTATTAGCATACTCATAACATCATTGGGTAACTGTAATAATTACATTTATAATTATTCCCGCTACCTGAGGATTGTGCAACTAGTTTGTTGAACTTATTGCCATATTTATTCTCCAAACTTACCCCAGCGTGTTGGCGGAACTTTGTCATGTGATCCTACCTTTCATCCTACTGATGGACTCGATTCTACCTCCGGTTCTCAAATCAATGAAAACGGAAAGACCCATCCCGTTTGTCCGCATTCGGGTGACTCTGTTCGACATCAGCATCATGAGCCTCGGGGTTCTGGCCGAGGCCATCGGGGCGGAGGTCTTAGACGAGGTCGAAGTGGACGCACTACTGATGCTTCGTCTGGTAACATCAGTTCTGGAAATGGAACTTCCATAGCTGCATCTACTACTAGTCGGGGTGGAGGAACCGTTAACAGAGATGGCCCAGGTAACCGTCGAGGCGGTGGAAGTGGTTCAGGTGGGGGAGGTCGTGGTGGGCGAGGCGAACATGCTGTAGGGGGGGGTCGTGGCGATCGCTACAAAGATGGTGGTAGTGGAGGCAGTAGTGGTGGAGCAGGAGGCGGTTCTGCAGGGGGAGCGGCTGGAAGCAGTTCTAATGCACCTTCTGGTAACTTCAGTGGAAGCGGCTCAGCTGGAAGAGGGAACAGTTCCAGTGGGGGTGGTAGCGAAGGTGGTAGCGGAGGTGGTGGTGGCTGTGGTGGCCCCTGTCAAAGTGACAGTGCTGGTACTCAACACGCTGGCAGCGTTTCTTATAATCAAAGAAAACTTGGATCAGATCACATGTCTGCCATAACCACTTCACCTACTTTATCAGTCGCCAACATTAATACTGCTCCGCGGCGTCCTTTGACGGCAAGTAAGTATGCTTTATGTGGGCCTGTAAGCTAGTACTGTGAAATCACAATCAAGTGGATGACAGCTCTCTTTAGTGTGGATTACTCTCTACTATTATGATACTCAATTTGGTTCTAGCGCATGAGCAATATTTGCATATGGCTATTTTTGTTAAATAATGATTCCACTATTAGCATATAGTTATGGATTACTGATATTATTGTTCTTTTGACCCTACTAGACATTTACACTATTCTTTTATCAGTCCCGATTTAAGTCGTTTCTTATGTTTCTTTTAGTTCCGAAGGAGAACATTAGTGATGGGAATGATGCAGAAGAATGGGAGACCGCTTCCGAGGGCACTTCAGATGGCGACCGGGGAAATTCAGTCATCAGTCCTGACCAGCCGTCCAGTTCCATCGGCTCGTATTCCGTGCTTCAACTGAATCCAGCCACTCCTGATGGGCTCTCTATCTCACTGATACATCAAAACGCCAGCTTGACTCCAGCTAGCTCTATCGTTCTCACTGGCGCCAATAATACACCTTCATCAACTCCATCCTCTAATACCACCACTCCGACTAATATTAAGGGTTCACAACCTACAGATGTGCTCATTTCTGCAACTGAGATCGAGGTTGATGAGCCTGTATCGAGTATTCCGATTCAGTCTCCTGGAACTCCAACTTCATCAAAGTTATGTGTCCAAGTCTCCCCAGCTCTTCCCAGCCCGGTTTACTGTCGCAATGAAGCCGACTCTGATGTTTGCAGGCAGCCAATGGCGCCAGCACCAGCCTTGCTTGAAATTGTGCCGAGTGGTGGCAGTAGCAGCAGTTGCACCAGCAGCAGTAGTAGCAGTCTCAGCACCAGCAGTAGTAGTGGAGGAGAGACGACTCGCTGTCAACTGTCTGATAGGCGCAATAACGACCCCTGCAATAACCATAAAGGCCGACGTGGAGGAAGCGGTAGTGGAGGTGCAGGAGGTTGGTGTACCAGCATTGAGAACAAAATCGATCCTGCAATTTAACGTATTCCGTTCAGCGACGGGGGTCGTGCGAAACATTTTAGTATTAGGCGTTCATCGACAACCATGTATGGTAGAGCTTCGGAAGCTCCACGTTATCCGTCATAGATAACTATGAGTATAATAGATTTCAATGAGAATTGTCTCCTTTGAACCATCGCTAGTCAATTGGAAAGTTTTGGGACAATGACCGGCTTATTTGGATTTGCTCTTTGAAAAGAGAATATTCTAACACTGTGCCGCAAGAAGTACTCATTATTCCATTTATCGAGTCGTTTTGATAGAAAAACCTCCTATGGTCCCAAAACGCTTTGTTTAAAAAGTTGAGATCGAATGAGTGAACACAAAACTATGAACAACTACTAGTTGTATTTATCTATTTTCGTTTCCTCTACCACGATCGTTCATGCTAGGCTTCTCTTGCAGCATGTTGTCACCAGTAGGAGATTCGCTTAAATTACCCCAATTGTTGAATACCGTTAAGAACTGGTATGAGCAGGCCCGATAACGCTATTTGATTTCACTTTGTATTGCCTCTTGGAATGTATTCGAATGTAAGGTGGACTGCAGTTTCAATCTCACATTTTGGGCAGTAAGTAGGATCCAATTCTATCGCACTACCTACTCTTACAATAGTCAAAAAATTTACTTTGGGTTCTGCGTCAAAGATGTCCCATTTATTAAAAACAAATGTTTATGTTCCTGATTCGGTATTTTATCTATTAATTTTCTGAGCTGTATTCACCCTATTGCGTGTGTAGTAGAATTTTCCCACAATGATATGAGTTGAGCTGACGTTTCCATTGAATTTCACATAGCCTTGCTTTGCCAAAAGTTGTTCTCATCCAGGGTAGACTGCAGTTTCGACCTCACATCGGTCTTATCAACGCCCTAAGCGGGAGTCGAACCGCGACAGTGCAGGATGGGAACTTGACACGCTAACCAGTCGGCTACACTGCTACGAGTACCCTTGAGTTATAGGGCATAAGTGACTTTCAAAGGAAGATCTCATATTACTGATTTACTAGTAGTCTCGAAACTACTCTAATACGAAAATAAGTAACGTAGTCC